ATTATTTTCAAGATAAGTAAATTTAACTCTTTCATATGATTATGAAGATTCTTTTTATTTATTTTCAATATTTGCTATCTTGGTCTTTGATTTTGAATAATAATTCTTTGTAAAGTAGTCTGGTTTGTCATAATTATAACAGATATCTTTTATTAATAAATTTGATAGATATTAGATTAGTAATAATCAGTAAATATGCTAATCATTATTGATTTTTTGATTTTATTAATTCAAAATCTGTGTAAAACTCTAAAAATAGATATTTTGGAGAAATATAATCTAAAAAAACTATAATAATTAGCAATATTACAAATTATTATAATTTTTTGAATATAAATTAAATAGATAAATAAGAAATAAATTAATTATATAATTATTATTTATTTTTTTCTTTGAAGTTTATAACAGATATAAATATGATTTTAAAATTCTTTGCCTATTAGTTTTTTAAAATATATATTTATTTAATAAAAAAAGATTTTTTTTATTAAATCTTGACACAATATATATCTCTTGATCTATAGATTTTATTAGAATTATATTATATTCTTTAGTATATTATAAATAAGAATAACTATATTTTTCTAACTTATTTGATATAATATTATATCAATAAATTATAGCAAAATTATATAAATTCTTTGTTAATTTTCAAAAAAATTGTAAAAAGAATAGTATCTTTAAAAGAAAATATAAAAATTAATTTATTCAAAATTGTTAAATTTAAAATCATATTTTACTATTCTTTAAGTTATATTTATCTTTTTATATCAAGTATCTTTATCTCAGAATTTTGTCACTTTTCAAATAAACTATATTATAATTTTTTATATAAAAGTTTTTACTTTCAGACTCTTGTAATAATATATCAAGAAATATATCTAATATAATAATTATATATAATAATCTTTTATTAAAGTTTAAATATAATAAATTCTCCAAATTCTTCAATAAAATCACTTTTGCTTTATAGTATCCAAAGATAATTCCTATAGTATCTTATTAAATTTTATAATTTTATGATAAACTATCTTACTTATTATTAAAGCTAATTTTTTATGCTTCACTTATAAGTATAATTTAGAATTTATAACAAATTGATCATAATTAACATACTTGACTTATTATATTTATTATCTGCTATATTATATTTTTTCTATTTAATAACTAGTATAGATATTTTATATATAACTTATAAAGTATTTTATATATTTCTGTTCAGAAATTATTCAAGAAATCATATTTATAAATTATCAGAATTATGTGATAATACTAACTATATAATTTAGAAAAATTACATTCCATAGTGAATAATAATGATAAGAAGATTCTTTTAAATTCAGTTAATCAATTAATAATGAGAATCTGTATTTATTTTCAAAGTCTATTATTAGTTATTTAATTCTTTAAAATTTAATTGATTTTATTTTATTTTATCTCAAATTCTTTTGAATTATTTTTAGTAAATAACTCTCATCTATTTATTATATATATTCTATTAAACTTTACATAAAGTATATAGAGTTTATTATAGATTTATTATTTTATATATCAAAGATATTATCTAATATGAAAAGAGTAATTTTTATGATATATTGATAATTTGCAACTATTATCACTATTATTTAATTCAATTTATCAAATAACTTCAATACAAAAAGCAAGAAATTTAATAAAGATTGCTATTAAAGTTATTTAGTAATTCTATTTCTCAAATTTCCTTCAAAATATCTTGAATAAAGTTTAATTAATATTTGAAAAGATTAAGATTAATATGATATATATAATTAAATATATAAGTTTCATAAATATTTAAGTTTCTATAATAATTTAATAATTTCAATTTAATTATAACTTAAAATTATTTAAAATAATTGCAGAAGAATTAGTATTTAAATATTTATAAGAACTTTCAGAATATATTTTTAATATTATATATGAAAAAATTCTTGTTCTAGTCTTTATTTATAATTTATTATATATTTTTTAATATTTTATGATTTATATTTTCTAATATAAGATTCATATTATTGAGATTATCCTGCAGAACTATGTAAATATAATATAGCATTTTGTATCTTGCTAATTTATATATTACAATAATATCATTAGCTTTAAACATATTCATGAAAAAGATTAAAATATATACTGTAAAATTACTAATTATCTTTATACTCCAAAATATAATTTGTTAGGTTTTTACTAGAGAATTAATATAAAATTATTTTATTAATAGTTATAAACAAGATAAAATATAATATAAATAGTTTTAATTTTATAACTTAAGATTATTTTATTATTTAAAAGTATTTAAATCTGAAATAAAAGTATAAAATAGAAAGATCATATTTATAATAAAAAAAATAAATACAAAAAGTGAATAAATTAATAATAATTTTTATTTTTAAAATATATATGATTTAATAAATTAATTAATTTAATTCATATTTTTAGAGAACAACTAATTGTAATCCAAAAATTAATAATATAATAAATAATAATATATGAGAATTAGTAAAAAGAAAAAAGAATTATTATAAAGAAATCTAATTAAAAATATTAATTATCTAAATTAATAATATAGATATATATAATGATCATTTTTTAATAATATACTAAATCTAATATATTAAATATATAATAATTATTTATATATTTAATATGAAATTAATCTTCTTAAAAATATAATATAAAGCTAATTTATAATACAAATAATACAAAATAAAGATCTAAATTAAAGAAAGATAAGCTAATTAAAATTGTTATTAACTACTTTACTTAAAATACAATATTCTTATTATATTTAAGTATATGATTTTTCAAAATATTAATCTTTTTCATAATATTTTTTAAGTTTTTTAGAGATTTTTAAGTTATATTATAGAAAAAATAATCAAGTTATTTAATAAAATATTGGAATTTATAATAATAAATTCTTTTATCAAGAATATTTTCTACCTTATATTCTTTTTCATTATCTGAAGTGATAATTACTAATAATAATTGATATTATTAAATTTATCATTTAAATTATACTTCTTTAGAAGTAATATATAAAATACTAGATATAATTTTATATTATGTAATAGTTGTAATTTATAAATAATAGAAGATATTTTTGTAATGATTTCAAAGATTTTGATATAAGTTTCTTGATTATTTTTTATTTATTTATTAAAACTTCTGTATTATAAGTAAAGAGAAGAACTTTATTTTCAAGATTAAATTCTTTAAATTTTCTGTGCTAATTTATATATTTTAACTATCTTTCTTGTACTTCTAGTAGCAAATCTTTGATAATCTTTATTATAATATTTCAATACTCTATAAAATCTTGTGAAACTATAATATTATTTTGAAAGAATAAGAGATTGATTGATATACAAGATATCTATTCACAATTTAATTCAAAAGATGTGTGATCTGTTAAAATATTCTTGTTATTATTATAAACAAATTTTACTGTAACTAGATTTTCATCCCATTAGTTTTGTTAATAGATAATATATATTCTTAATATTTCTTTTAAGATTCTATTAAGTCTTTCTGTTTGGCCATCTATCTGCAGGTAAAAGACTATTAATATAGTGAGTTTTATTTTAAGTTATTTAAAAAGAGACTTCTAAAAGTGTCTTGTGAATTTAGCATCTTTATTTGATATTATAACTATAGATAAGTTATGTAATTTGAAGATATTTTTAAAAATATCTTTGCATTATTAGATGCTATTGCTATTATGATAATAGGTACAAAGTATGTTCTTTTTGACAATTTATCTATAAATACTACTATTGCATCATATCCAGACTTGGTGATTGGGAGTTAAACTATAAAGTCCATAATAATATATTTCTATCTATATTCCAGAATGATGAGTGATTAAAGTAATCCTGAAGACTATTGATTACTGCTTTATTATATTAGTATGATTCACAACTGATGATATATTTGTGAATGTTTTTATTCATCTTTAGCCAATAGTATTGTTAAAATATAGCTGAATATGTCTTGTTTATTTCAATATATTCTGCTATTGTAATAAAATTCAAATAAAATCTTTGCTTTCAAGATCTTGTCTTCTGAAATAGCTAGGTGATTGGTATTCTTTAAGTAAAGTAATTTTTCTTTCAACTCAAAGTTTTTCACTTTGATCTGTTGCTTGGATGCTGCACTATTGAAATTCTTCAAAATTTCATAAATTTCTCCAAAATATTTGTCTTGATATTTCTTTATCAAGTCTTCTTTATTAACAAGATTGGTGATGATAACTGAGATATTTGCTAGGTGTGATTGGCATGAAAGTGTATCTGCTACTATATTATCTTTGCCAGATTTATATTTTACTTTAAAGTTACTGGCTTGTAATATTTCTAACCAGTAAGCCTATCTCTTGGAAAGATTGTGTTGTGTTTTAATATATTCCAAAGAGGTATGGTCTGTAATCACTGTGAATTTTTGTCCTTCTAAATATGACTTCCAGAGTCAGTTCACATTCTGAAAATTTACTGGTTCCAGTCTTAAAATTCTGAAAAAAGTCATATTTGGTATCGGTTCCGTAATAATTCCCTCTTTTAAAAAAAATCTAAAAGTCTAAAATCACAATCAGTATCAATTCCTTCTCGTTTCTGAAATAATTCCTTATGGTTCCGGGTATTAAGTATCAATTCCGATAAAATTCTGGGGAACTTTTCTCATAGGGTTTATTTTTAGTATTTTGATTAAAATATATATGAGTAATATAATTAAATCTTTCCATAATTATTGCATTTGGAAAAACAAAATTGAATTATTATAAAAAAAGATGTAATTAAAAAAGATTTTTTTAATTATAGTTAATTAATAACTGGAAAATTCAAAAAGAGAACGAAATCACATTTAGTCACTTTTTAGTTCTTTAAGCATTCGGACATTAAATGATGATAATTACTTGTTCTGTTCTTTTACATTTTCATCAAAGAATACCTCGCATATTCATTACCAGGAAGGACTTGTGAATCAATCTATTGAGGATTCACAAACTCCTGCCTAACAACATTGTTAGTATTGGTATCGTAGCGATAGATCCTCACTGTAGGTGAATTTGCAATTTGATCAATTGATATTTCTTCCTAGAAAAGCATAATACGGCAGTAATTAACAATAGAGAAGTCAACAAAGAAATAGCAATCATCACTAGTCTACTTCCCTCAACTCCCGCACCAATCCATAGCAACATTTTTCTATGAATATACTGAGGTGAACTGGTCATTGAACATAATTCCACAACAAAGTTTGGTGCAACTGGCGGAAATTCTTGTCGTTTATCATTATCTGATAGAGCGTTCCATTTAATAATAAAACAAAGAATTGATGCAAAATGCAAGCTGTCTTTGTATTTAATAATGTTTAAAAACCTGGTAATAAGGAAAACAGCGGTATCGGGACCAAGAATGTCACCTCTAGGTAATGTATAGGCTCCCTACGATAATTAAAAAAGACGTTATATTAGTATATAACAAGTAAATGCTAACATGACATTTCATGATATACCTGGGAACTAATAGCTTGTACAACTAAGTTGGCATAAGCTTCGCACCAGGCGTTAATTTGTCCCAAGAATTTTAAGTTCTCTTTGAGCTAAATATCATATTTCGATCTGGGTCAGTATGGGAAATAACCTCTATTGACATTTCAAACTTCAAATTTTCGAAGAAGGCCTAACTAGTTACATACCAAGTTTGTCACGGAGCTATATGGTATATCTTTTTCGCTTGAAAAATGCATAGAAATGATATAATCTGTAAATACCATTGCGCAGATTTCGCTTTATAGAAGATTTCTTCATTACAGCCAAAGTTTCGATATAGAAACCATTGATATAGGGCGATTATATAATTTTATTTTATTTCTTAATTGATCGAATAAAACATATCGAAGTTAAGGTCTTTGTTAGTTTTTTCGTCGACTTGAGATGATTTAAAAAATCTGTTAGACTTAAAAACTACGAATAAATTAATCAATAAAATAATTAAATAATTAAATAATGATCATAACAGTAAAAGATATCTAGTCAAACCGTAAATCAATGGCTGTCGCTATTATTACATTATAATTTTTCTCAAGTGTATATAAAAAATACTAAACAACTTCGCAACAAAACATCAAAATAGAATTCTATCATTTAAGAAATTATGTATATTGACTAGTATAATGAATGACCTTTACATAATTGTGACTGGGATTAATAATTCCATGAGATCAAATTAATTGATGTGTGCGTATAAAACATCTGTCTACAAATGAAAATTTGCAGTAGAAAAGTGATTTCGCATAGTCGAAAGTAATAAATGAAGTTACAACAATGACATAATAACTATCCAATAATTTATTCATATGAAATTATATAAGCTATAAATATATAATAAAATTTATGATCAAAACTAATAAATATACGCGCATAAACACAAAGAAACCACTTTTGATTGTCGTTTTGCTAACTTTAATAAATTTGTAGGTTTTTCTTACAAGTCACTCAGCATATCCTCATTCCCTTTATCAAAATCTGTTTTTATTACCAAAGAAAAATAATGAAATAAAGAAATTGATTAAATATATTGAGAATTCCATGATCCACTGTATATAAGTTTGTGTTACAATTTGGACCGAGTTCGAACCAAGTTCAAAACTAGTTTTTAAAAAGCCTAGTTTGAGCTTTAGGTCCGGATTAACTTATTAACCTCCCTACCGATAACGCTAATGAGGTAACCTTGCGGTTGTGAGTCCATAATTCTTTTTATAAGCATACGATTTGAATAATATTGTCATAATCTTTGGACCAATATTCGATACCGGTTTGTAAGTTTATTCATACTTTTGTTTTATTAATTTTTGCTGTGACTATCAATTCTTACTTAATTCCTTGAGAAACACCCATTTTTGGCAAGTGCTAAACCTTTTTGGATTAATGTTTTTGATGATTCATATTTTTTCTTTTCTCCCCAATACTCTGCTGACAATCGATCATATTGTGCTTGCTCAGAAACTAAAATCGTAGTAATAAAATTAGTAATAATGTAGTAGTCAACTTGTATATAAAGGCGAGATATCACGTCTTTGAACAGCATGCTCTGATCAATAAAATAAAAATTAATTCTTAACCCTTTACTTGTGAATAAACTAATTTTTCTTTCCTTTGGTTATCTTCAAACCTTGCGTACAAGTAGCAAATGACTTTCCCTCAAAATAATCCATAATTCGTCTGTGATCTTGTTGGCAGAAACTAAGTCCAATCGTCGATTTTGAATGTAGTAGTTTTTGGCTAGCTGAAACCATCTGAGTCGTTGCTCCCGAAGTAATCATTGTGACGCGTGTTATTGTGTTGTAGGTGATCAGAAACCTTCTCAAAATCTCCTTATAGTCTAGTGGCGACTCTCTTTTTGTTGCTGGTAATCAGAAACCTCCTTTGATTCCTAGCTAAATTAAAGAATAAGCATCTGTAAGGTTTGATTTACGTACAAATCACCACAGGAAATTTTTAGCACAATAAAGAAACCCTATTATTGTAAACCATTCAGTCTTGTTCTTGTCATTACCTTGTTATGCTTGCCCTTTAAATCCACTCATTTCTGGAAGTGCGCAACAATACATGTAAGATTGTTGTTGTCGCAACGAAAAATCCCATGATTACGATTTTATAATATCCTCAACGATATTATCCAGTATCACATGAACCTTGTAACATCAACATTGATGTTACTTTAAAAAATTTTACTTTATGGTATTAACATCAACAATGCCTTAATTTGCGTTCTAAAGAATGTGAATTGCCAATAGAAATTCACAAAAATTCGTATCGTACGTTATTCTTTTGTTCCATAGACCTTAATCCAAAATTCCTACCAAATTCACATTTTGCGTTTGTATGTAATAATTTTATTCTTTAGTATGATAATAATCATAATTAATTTTGACAATTGAATTTGTTGCAAAGATAGCACATGTCCTTTTGTCAAAATTCATATTTTGTACGTTAGAGCCCGCGAAATCTTGTAATAATTCATGATTTGTAAAATAGAGCAGTCAACTCTCCCTAAAAGAACATTCCATACATTAGAAATATTCCCTTTAAGTGCTTAGTCTCAAGCTTATGATACCCTTATAAAATTTTACTCTCTCTAACTGCACATTTTTGTCAAATTAGTTCTTGTGTCTAAAGGATGTGTATTTAGGGAGAGTTAACTGTAGTTAGTTAGTAACAGATTATATTTAAAGGACGGCTCTTGCAAGCTAGAGAGACAAGTCACTGTGTGGTTTTGAAGAAAAATAAATAACTAAGATTAATTTTAACCATTACTTCAGCTTTTATTTCTTTTTGTCTTAAAATTGATAGGTTATTTCTTTTGTGCTTACAAATAGAAGGCTTTACTGATTTGGCCATACAAGCTGATTAATTGCATTTATTCTATATTTCATTTGGTACTTTAAATTATTCTTTGTCTGACTTTGATATCGTTATTTACTTCATATTATATTTACAGAAAAACCTATTATTGTGGTTTGGATTAATATTATTTGAATGTTATTAGTAATTTTACAATCATTTGTCAATTTGAATTAAAATTATGTTTCGTTAGCAATTAATTATTACTTCTATTAATTAAAGTACTAACTTCATTTTATATTTTGCCTTTGTTCCTTGAATTTTTGACAATCTCCCTAGTAAAATCCACTTTTCTAAATCATTCAGTCTAGCTCTCGACCCTTGTCATATCTACAATTCTTTAGTCCAATTAACTTCTGAATTATGCATGAAAGTAACTCCATTTCAACTGAAAATGAACTTTTTATATTTAGCAAATGTTCAGAAAAAATTCTTTTTTAATGAAATATATTGTTGCATCGCAACGAAAAAACTAATCACAGAATATTTGGAGTGCTGCTAAATTTCTTGATTTTGTACTCCTGTGAATAATGTGACAAAACCTTAAAAATAATTAATGGTATTGTTCCATAATATTCACACATACTGTAGATCCCAGAAATTCTTACAAAAATCCCTACCTTGTATAATCAATATTAATGTCGTTTTCCCATAAGCAGGTAGTATCTTATTAAATTCTTACCTTGCGCGCCAAGATATTAATTATCGTATTCAACAATTCTTATTTTGTACATTCTCTCTTATTGTGTGATTCATAATTATATTAATTCAACATAATAAATAATAATTTTGGTAATTTTTTTTTACATAAACATTTTACATTCATTACATTATAGCCTTTTTCTTTTTGTGAAAATTCCTATTGAAATCTTATTTGTATTTCAATGACCTGCACAATCTGTAACTAATGAATTGTACTTTAGATAGTTGTGTAATAATGAAAACTGTATACATATAGGACAACTTTCGAAGTTCTGAGAAACAGGAAATGTGAGTTTGAAGAAAAATATCCAAATAAAATTATTTTTAGTTCTTACTTAACTACGTCTCAGCTTTTATTTCTTGTATACTAAACGAAATTGTTAGCTTTAATCTGTGCTTGACAAATTGAAGATTTCACTGCTTTGGCTATATAAAGCTGCTGACTCGCGTTTGATTCGACATTCATTTGCCTCGTTTGAATTATTAGATTATTATTACGTCTTGTTTTTACTCTGTTAATTATTTGACTTAATCATTTCATAATAACCTATATTGGGGATTAGATTATTTGTTCTTTGTAATTAGTATATTTGATTTTGAATTTAAGTTAAGGTTATAATTTATTAGTGAAATAGAAATTATTGTTAATTTGAACTAAATATAAAGTTCATACCTTTGATTGCACAATCTCCATGAAAAGATTGCACAGGAGACCTTTAATACCCCGGTGAATCCCATTTCTTGTAATCATTCAGTCTTCGCTCTCATTCGTTAGTCAACCTAACTTCCGAATTGAGTGTGACAATATAGTTTTGAAAACAATAAAAATTCTTAATTAAAATTTTAAGTTCTAAAGCAAATTCGAATAAAATTTTCAAATCTGATAATTATTTTCCTGTATCATAGTTATTATCTTATTGTTTGAGTTGCTTGTTACTTCATATATCTGGTACATTATTTTATTTGAAAGTTGTATATATATTTTTTGATAAAAACAAGAATGTCCCTAGACTAGCAATCGGAGCTGAATATTCAAAGCTTTATTCGTTTGAATTTCGTCATATCTTTTAGAATACTGGTTGGTTAGCTTATTATTCCTGAATCTGTTTTTGATCATTTAAAAAATTTGAACTGAAATTCTCTTATAATAATTCTATTTTCGAGAAGATTAGACAAAACTTGACTGAATTTAAAATCTATAAAATTTTCTAAAAAATTATTAACTTGCTTCTTTATGAGTGCAGATGCATTTTTAATTCTTTCACAAATTACAAGCATTTTAGTAAAAGTATTTCCTTCATAAACACAAGATTAGATTTAAATAACCGTTAAAAGTTCCATCTTCAACATAAAACAAGCATATATATAATCACTTCAGTTTTCTAAATACTTTATTACAAAATAGTTTATTTATTATATTTGTTTATGAAACTCACAATTTTTTTCTAACGTTTTTAATTTTTTATTGTAACAATTCTTGAAATAACTTTCTAAATTACTAACAACTTCTAGAATTATCATCTTTGGTATGTAAGCACTTTAGGTCTGCACTTTTCAGCCAGCTTGAAATACTTCATAAAAGCTCAATTTCCGATAAATCAACCACTTTGTTTGATTTTAAATCAGATAAATCGACATACAGCATGGTAAGTCTTGTTAGTTCATGCTAACATAGCTTTAAATTTCAGTTTTGCAATCACAATATTTGGATGGATTAAAATCAGGTTTATTTAATAATAGAATACATATCAAATAAATCTTATCAATTGTATTTTTGAAGAAAAAATATTATGCTTCATTCGAATTTCAAACATTAAATTAGTTTATTTATTAATTAATTGATTTATGAAAATTATACGTAAATTATAATGATACATGTGAAAGATTGTTATCTACGATGTTTTATTTATTGGAATGTCAGTTATATAATATGCGGTACTCCAGTAAATACCAGTATTTTTAGTCTATTAATAGATGTTAAATTCACGTATTAATAAAAGAACAGCACTAAAATATCGCAAAGATTAAATGAATAACAAACCTCATTGTATCTAACAATATAAGCACCGTTTGGCAATTGATCTGGGAAAGCTTCTGTATAAGAATGATTGCCTTCAGTCGTATTAGCTTTCTCTACAAGAGTCTTGATCGTTTCATTCTTATCAGTTAGCAAATAAATAGCCAAAATAAAGATTTCGTTTGGATATTGTTTGTCAAAAGTGTAGTCGAGTGTTATATTCTTTTGTGAGCTATTGTACACTTCACCCGACTTCGGTTCGCTTATATTGTATTTATAAGTACCAGCAATGGTTGGTGGTTTGAAATCATCTGCTTGTGTTGAAGCCAGAAGAAAAATAGTGAAGATAACGATAAGCAAGAAGGTTACAGAAAGTTTTGTTTGCATGATTTTTGTTTTTTTGATTGAGTGAATGATAGACTTTTTGGCGAGCGCGACGTATCTCTTTTATAAGAATTATAATATATGTCCGAGTCGTAAGTAAATCGTCATGAGGCTTTTTTAAGACATAAGCACAGCCTTACGATGCGTTTACATGTGGATGTACATCTACGTAATAAATGTAGATTTATTGATTACATAAAACAGTTAATTCAAATATTTATAACTGGCCAAGCCAATGACACACATTAATTTAAAGATTAGGTTGAAATGGTTGAAATACAGCCTAGCATACAAATAGAACATAATACGAATTCTCTTTCTAACTTTACTTTACTGTTATTTTGCTGCATTTTACCGTTAATTTGGCTACAATATTTACCTGGGAAGGCGAAGTTTGTGTGTTTTCTATTCGTGGTCAAGCATGAGAAAGCTTCACGGCACGACATTAATATATCAAGTTATGTGTTTCTTTCATTGTATCAAATTGCAATTCAAAAAGAATTTTACAAAACACATTCTAAAAAAATCTTCGGCTTCGAAATGAATAATTACACGATTAATCATTCATGTATTTACGACTCATATTAATTCATTCTAAATCAATGCTGCCGTTAATCTTAACGGATTATGGTAACCGTAAGGCAGTAAATACACACAACAATTTATTTACACACGGGACATTGTTAAACTAATATTTAAGGCGTATCAAAATAGACGGGATTTTTAGATCCGAAATCACAAAGCCAAGCCATATAAATTTCATTAACAAAATCTTCTCATTTATATAATTTATATAATTAGATTAGAGTGCCCAATTTACTGCACAAGCAGAATTTGCAGAAGCGGTGTAAACTGACGTGCCTATACGCGAAATTTTGCTGTGCTGAAAATACGATGCTGTATGATAAACAATGACAACACGACGATGACGACGACGACGACGAAAATATTGACGGTTCAATTTTTTGTGATATAATCAACCTTTTCAAAAAAAGGTTGGTTCAAAAAATACATGGTTGTGCTGTTCAGGGCGCATGCATATTGGATTTATTGATTACAGTATTCTTACTTTAACTGGAAATTGCTCGAAAGTTTACCATGTCAACGAGCTTTTACCTATTAATTTATTCGGCATAAAATTGATATATACATATATCAATTATGAAATAAAGAAATAGATAACACAATTTTTAATATTTCATCTATATATTGGCAATTTTGAATTTTAAGTGCCAAATTTATGTACGGCCAAAATTCAAATTACAACCCTGCGCATTATTTCGTGAAAATACGGTATTCAAAATAATTCGTGTTTCATAGAATGTTACATGTTTTTAATCACTTAATCATATTAATTGCATTAACATTGATTAAATTAATATCTTAGAAAATTATTCTAATTTCTGTGTATTCACTTTGCTTAAGTCCTTTTCTATAGACATCTATATATCAAAAAGATTTTGTGCATAACTCCAAATTTACTTTAAGAAATTAAATCCAATGCTTCTGTATTAATTTTTGCAACCCTTTCCAAGCATATTTAGCATATTTCTAATAATTTATAAAAAATAACTTTGTTTTCTTTTTCATATCTTCTGAAGTAAACAACATTGATTATCTTGTTATTTCAGTACATATCTCATGTTAATATGCATTATTATAATTTAAATATAATTAGAGTGAATTATATCAGACATAATGGTTTATTAAGGATTTCTTTAATATTCTAAGAATTTTCTTTTATGTCTTCTACACAAATTATCCTTAATAAAGAGATTGCTAATAATAATAAGATGAATTGAAAAGATTTTTAATGATTAATAACATAAAAGTAATTAACAGACATGCTCTAGAAAAATAATAATTCAAATAATTTTAGTTAATCAAAAACTCAGGTATTTAAAACCAAAAAATAAGCTTAGTTTTTATTAATAAACTAATATTTAAATTCGAAATATGTTTTATTTATAGTAAATATTTCCACTACTTATATAAAAGACAAGATTTAAAGTTAATTAATGAAAAATATACAAAAGTTATTTTATTTTATTTGATTAAATTATATTACTCTTGATTTAAAGAAGATTTTCTTATATATTTTTTAGTAATTTCATTTATATTATCATAATATTCCAGATTTTTCAATTTAAAATCAATATAATATCAGAAATTACAAAGAAAAATACATAATTAAATTTAGAAAATTATACAAGAAATGATATTCATAAAATAATATATAAATATATAATAATTTATAGAATTAAAAAATAAATATTAATATAATAATAAAAATAAATTTATTAAAAATTATTATTATAAAATAATTATTCTTTTTTTTATAATTATTATTCTTGAAAAATTATATATATATATATATATATATTTTAAACTAGTATTGAATTTTAAAATTAATATAATTATTTAAAAAGTTATATAATATATTTAATTACTAATTTATATTTAAATTATTTATTATTAAAATTTTTATTTATAATATTGAATTATAATATTATTATAAATAATAAGAATCAAATATAAAATGAATAGTATATATAAAAATATAATTATATTTACTATATAAAATTATTAAAAAAATAAATTCTAAAAAAGTTAAATTATTATTAAATTATATACTTTTTTTATTATAAAATAAATAAAAAATCTTCATTAATTAATAAATAATTTTTGATAAGCTTGAAATATAATAATATAAGATTTTAATTTAATAAAACTAAATTATATTACTTTTTTAATATAAAAGTATATTAGTATATTACTTTTTTAATATAAAAGTATATTAGTATATTATTAATTTAAAAAAGATAAATTTTTTAACTAATTTATTTATTTATAATCAATCATGTAATATAGCAACTGGAAATTATATATGGTGTAGGAAATCTTAACTCACCAATCACGTGAATTTGTTTCAATTTTGTGGATGCAATGTAATTTAGCATATT